TCAACCCAAACATACCACGTATGCTGCCATGTGAATTACTCTGTAAAGTCACATTTAGCGCTACATTATGTTTATCCATTAAACCTTCAGTTAACATGCTACCATTAGCTTAGCAGTTGACATTAACAAAAAATAGAGGGGTGTCTTGTTTATGTCAAAACTAAACATGTAGCCATTTCAAACTGCTACATGTGCGTAGACATCACACACACGCACTGCGAAACAGCCAGTGAGGCGCAATCTACGTGCCAACAACATGATTATACTTTTTTCTTATGTTTTTACGGTATGTTCTACAAATAAAACATAATTAAAACATTAGCATTACATTACATTAATAAATAGATATATAGCCTACTGTAATCACTACAATAATAATACTAAGAATAAGATCAATTGTTTTAATTTTCATTCTGCATATAACAGGATTAGGATCTATTTAAGTCATCTCCAAAATGTCACAAAATGAAAGGGGCGTATTCCAGTTAGTCAGGAAAAATACAGACCGACGTCCAGCCCAACTGTACTCAGCCAAAACTGGCCCAGATTACATGCGCCACATGTTAGCCGGAATCCGTTGCCATGCTTGGCTCGGGTATGGCCCGTAATCATTTGCCGAATTTGGCAGTTAGCCAGATGTGCCGCAACTCAGCCGGATTCGGCCCACATACAGTATAGAGACTAACATTTTCTATGTCTATTTTCTTTACCTGTTGATTAGAAAAACACAGGCAGAATGGATCAAAATGAAAATAAAAGGAATGAACTGTTATAAAACAAAAAATAAACTATTTGGATAGAGATTAAAGTCAAGAGTAAAGTGATTTAAAGTCAAACAAATTGTCTTTTTCTACTGAAAAGTATTAATTTTGTGCATGAGCTTGTAATGTTTTCTGTCCTTCTGTTGTATGTTGAATCTATCCATCAGGACAAACCAACATTGTTATAAGAAAGCACAATATATGCTTGAGGATGCAAAATGTTTACAGAGCACTGATGCTGCACAAAGCAGGTATTGACAATGTGAATGTGATAACTGATCTGCGGCTGTGTTCCCCTGTAGCACTGTAACTGATGATTTGCTTGAAGATCAACAGGGATTGGCTCTATTGAACTGAACGCTGTCAAGCAATGGATTTGCACATGGTGCACGGCTGTTTCCATTAGGGGTCGCCACAGTGAATAATCTGCTTCCACCTAACGCTATCCTCGGCATCCTCTACTCTTACCCTAATTAAATTCATGTCCTCTTTTAGCACATCCATATATCTCCTCTTTGGCCTTCCTCTTGCCTGGCAGCTCCATCTCCAACATCCTTCTACCAATATAACCACTATCCCTTCTCTGCACATTGGGTGTATTTGGGAACTCTCTCTCTCTCGCTCGCTCGCTCGCTCACTCACTCACTCACTCACTCACTCACTCACTCACTCACTCACTCACTCACTCACTCACTCACTCACTCACTCACTCACTCACTCACTCACTCACACACACACACACACACACACTCACTCACACACCTGCTCATTATTAACATTTTCAACAATACTGAGTCATGTTTAGCAGCATACTCTATCAACACCTTTACTTATTTTCACCAATTTTGCATGTCATAACAAAATTACAATTCTTTCATGCATATCTCGCCAAAAATTAGCCATGAAATATGATTGGATTTCTTACCTTGTCCATGTTTGGGCTTGGAGTGCCCACCCGAACTTTCTCTTGTCTTCTCCGCCATTTGGAATTTTACGTGTAGAGTGTTGTACTCTTTCAACACCACTAGATGGCAGTGTAAGTGTTCATATATGTGGCCAAAAGGTCTCAGTTAAGCAGAATTAACTTCTGTGGTAATATAACCCAAAATGTGATGTACATGCATGTGTACGCCAGGTCCTAAGAGGTTAAGCAGCAACAGATGCAGCAATATAATAAGAAATATATAAGAATATAACAGAATGTATGCTGCATGGGAGCAGCATGTGCAGCAGAGTCATTGTGCAATTATGCATGTAACACAAAATCTAGGACACTTTAAGCAGCAACAAATGCAGCAGTTCTAAACTTCATAGTTTAAAAATATTTAGCTTTATTTTGAAAATCTTGCCCCATTGAAATGAATGGGAAAAATCTACTTCAGCATAATTTCAGCTATCAAAATGTTCAGCTCCTCAAGGACATTCATGCTTCTATGCAGAATCGTTCTAAACTTCATAGTTTAAAAATATTTAGCTTTATTTTGAAAATCTTGCCCCATTGAAATGAATGGGAAAAATCTACTTCAGCATAATTTCAGCTATCAAAATGTTCAGCTCCTCAAGGACATTCATGCTTCTATGCAGAATCGTTCTAAACTTCATAGTTTAAAAATATTTAGCTTTATTTTGAAAATCTTGCCCCATTGAAATGAATGGGAAAAATCTACTTCAGCATAATTTCAGCTATCAAAATGTTCAGCTCCTCAAGGACATTCATGCTTCTATGCAGAATCGTTCTAAACTTCATAGTTTAAAAATATTTAGCTTTATTTTGAAAATCTTGCCCCATTGAAATGAATGGGAAAAATCTACTTCAGCATAATTTCAGCTATCAAAATGTTCAGCTCCTCAAGGACATTCATGCTTCTATGCAGAATCGTTCTAAACTTCATAGTTTAAAAATATTTAGCTTTATTTTGAAAATCTTGCCCCATTCAAATGAATGGGAAAATTCCAACTTCAGTATACTTTCAGCTAGCAAAAGCATTCAGGTGTCAAAATGTTCAACATTTTCAGGGCGATCTTTCAGCACTCAGCATCCATACGCATTTTCTTCAGAAAATGGAATTTTCTAGTGTAATAATTCATTTCAAGCTGTCTTCATACAGAAAATAATGGGCTTGCTGCCACCTTGTTATATAACAGGACATCTCATTGTGTATTTGTGATGTCGCGTGGCTCGGCTTCCCGTGTTTATGTTTCTGTATACCTGTTCTCTCCCCGCTACTGTTACCGGTATCAGTCATCTTTCCACTCACCTGTTGCTCGTTATCCCCCGGTCCCGTTTCTCGCTGTTCTGCCACCACAATCAGTCACCATGTCATTCACCTGCTGCTCATTATCTCCCAGTCCGGTCCTGTACACATACACCTGTTTTCTGTTCATACAATACCTTTACCTTACATTTATGCTATGCTACCCGGTTAGCATTATGTGCTCGTGTCCTGAGCTTACCGTCTTTCAACATCCTGTTCCTGTTTGTTTCTGCATTTCAGCAGTTCTGATTATTCTGCGTCTGGTCAGTCAGCAAGCTCGCCGTTTCTTTTGGTTAAGTGCGTAAGTCCTCTGCTCTTAATCCTTCTGTTCCCTGATTGCTGATACTGCTACTTTGACTGCTAGCGCTACTTGGCTAGCGCTGCTCCAGCTGCCAGTGCTACTCAGGCTGCCAGTGCTACGTATACCAGCTTACCTGACATCCTGCTGCCGGCTCTCCTTCTCGTCTTCTGGTTCCTGTGTCCACCCTGTTGCCAGCTCTCCTGCTCGTCCTCTGGTTCCTGTGTCCATCCTGTTGCCGGATCTCCTGCTCGTCTTCTGGTTCCTGTGTCCACCCTGTTGCCCGCTCTCCTGCTCGTCCTCTGGCTCCTATGTATCTCCTGCTGCCGGCTCTCCTGCTCATCCTCTGGTTCCTGTGTTTCTCCTGCTGCCGGCTCTCCTCCTCGCCCCTCTTGGTTCCTCCCTGGTCTCCTCGTCCATCTTGGTTCCTCCCTGGTCCCTGGTCGCCTTGTCCCTCTTTGTCTCCCTCCTGGGATCCTCCCTGGTCTCCTCGTCCCTCCTGGTCTCCTGGTCCTCGGTTGCCCCCTGCACTCCCTGCCTACCTGGAGCCTGTTCATCTTCCTGCCACCCAGCATTACCTGTGTTTTGTTCATTAAACTACTTTCTTTAGCTCCCACTCCTCCTGGTCTCTGTCTGCAACTGGGGTACACACCACACTCACACGTAACAGTATTATAATGTAGGAACAGTAATAACTGAAATGAATTATGATTAATATATCACTTCGATTTCTCAGTAATCAAAATATAAATATTGGGTACTTCCATGAAAATTTGTGGTGACATTTTATCCTGACTGCTTTATAAATGAATAGTTGACTTTTAGCTGTTGTAGGTCTTGGATTTGCGCACACTTGTCTTCTTATAACTATCCTAAATGTACCTGCTAATTTGTCCCACTCTTTTATCAGTATCTCTGTTGGTGCCCTCGTTTGCTGGTTTTAAGCCTTTACTGACCTCTTGTTCTCTGTCTGCAGACCTTAAACATAATGGAAGTAGAAGAAGTATCAAAAGTACCCAATTTGCATGCTGTTATGTCCATGAATCAGGCCATTCCCAGCACCTTGTCAGCAGGCACGGGTACTGTCGGCAATTCCACCCCCGCATGTGTGGGAACGCACTCTTGGCTACGAGGCACACCTGCTCTCAATCATCAGAGCAGTACTTGTGCGTTGGTGTGTCCTCGTCGCCAGATGATCTCTTGTCATGCTGTCAGTAACTCCGTATGTTGGCATTATACTTGAACAATTTGTAGGATTAACTGTTATTCTGATTTTGACTGCTTCTAGAGACTTTGTGGTATCTGCCATTCTGAATTTTGATGGCTGTCTTGAGTTATGAACTGTTTACCAGTGTTTTGAAAGAGAAGTAGGTACTCTGCTGCCGATTGTGATTTCTTTCCCCCGGCACTGGACCTCTGCCTTCATCCCCCATCATGTCACCCTTCGACCTGCTCTATCGTCACCTGTCAGCCTGCCCCAGCTGTCACCACTATCCAGATTCCTCACACCAGGCCAGTGATCTCCTACGCCAGCTCCTGCCTCCTTGGACTACTTTCCTGACCAGCTGTGCTCTCCTGCCTAGAGCCAGCAACATCCACCTATATTCATGTCCTCTGTCTTAGTGCTTGATATAGACTATCTCCGTATACCTGTTATCCTTTCTCACACTCATCCTCTGCTCTAATATAGCATGCCACAGTTCTCCTTCAACCCCAGGTTGCTTCTCTAGTGGTCCAGTCAACACAGCGTCCCCAGCTGCCTGGGATCCGCAGCAGTATCTCCATGCATCTCCAAGCTGTAACATATGTAAGTGTTGTAAAAGTTCTAAATACTAAATAAAAATTCAACATATGTGGCATACTAATAATAAATAACAAACTACCTTTCTCTTTTCTTTTGTTATGGAAATAAAACTAAAAGTAAAGCCAAAATATCAGCAATACACCGGCTGCCATCTTGGCATTTTACAGCCAGATTCTGCGCAATGGTGACCAAGTAGTTGAGGAACATATCAGACCACCAATCAAAGCTGTCAAAACATCTGAAAAACACCCCTTTTTATGCCATCCAATAATTTATTAAAATCCAACTTAGCAGAAAAATGACCACTTGTACACAATTCAGTGTGATAATATCTACCAAATATGGCAGAAATCACCTCTGAGGAATCTTAAATTATGCTCATGCCCCATCCATTAACATGGAGGAGGCAGGATTTATGACCTATAGCGCAACCAGCCACTGGGGGCGATCGGCTCACAATGGCTTCACTTCTGGGAGCTGTCATGTCCTCCATCTGACATTGACAATTGAGATATTAAAAAATAACAAGAACAATATACTAGCTGTTATTTAAAATGGGATAGCATCTGTGTACTGAAATCTGGTTAATTTTAGGGCAACTTACAGTATTATTGGCTGAATAATCGACCTGGTCAGTTGTTTGGTTGGATTCTGCTAGAAATTTGTTGTTGACTTCATCTTTGCAGAGCACAGTATTTTTTGGACATGGAACATTAAAAGTCATGACAACCTGTAAAACAATACACAAGTATAATACAAGAATATGCAACAAATAATTGGTGTCAGTTATACAGCTAAAACTGGGATTTTACTTACAACTTGTGTCATCTCCTTTCAGTTCCCTTGTCAGTGCTGGAATTTGTTGTTATGATGCCATTGTGTCTGCAGAACCTGATAATTAACATGGCAAACAAATTCTTAACCAATAAAAACAGAGGAAAACTTTGAAAACACAAATCTGCAGTCTGAATAAATTTGCCTTGCTCACTATATATATTTCAATATAAATGCATTCACAACTGGAAAACATACCTCTAATATAGCAGAACCTGGTATAAACTTTAAGTGTTACAATAGATGTCTTTAAAAACATAGTGAAGCAAGATATAGTTATCAAAACCAACCAAGGCTAATGCACTAGGGGTTTAGGTTTACTTGTACATTTGCTGTTCTATGAGGTTATGAGAAATCAAAACTGTCAAATTATTTAATCTCCTTTTTTAGCACTCAAATTGTTGGCCAAATAGGTTTCTGCAACTTTGACAGTTTTTATTTTAGTTTAGGGCTTAAACTTTATAGCCCCTTTTCACTTAATAATTTACCTTAAGCACAAACTGCTCTCCTCATGCAAATATGTACCTTAAAACAATGGTGCCCAAGAGCCATTTTCCCAAAAGACTTTGTGATTTAATCTTTCAGTCTAACCATTACACTAATCCAACCTATATTCTATCACTAAATCCTAATGCTTCAACTGGCCCCCGGAAGTAAGCACCTGTGTAATGATTTGATTTGATTTATTCTTTCAAACATGTAACGACAGTCAATATGTCAACACACATAATTTCACACATATCCACAAATGCATTATCAATTTGCTTATACCTAGTACATGCTTGAACAGAGAAGGAAGAAGTTAGTCCTCCTACTTTATCTTTATGTCACCTTTCAGCACTCTCATAAGGATAGCAGTGTAGTCACACTGAGTCCTGGGCAAACAGAGGGAAAGTGTGTGTGTGTGTGTAGCGTGTGGTTGTGTGTCAGGGGCCAGGCATTGTGTGAGTTGGACTTTCCTAATCCATTATTGTTGGGCCTCGCTCCAGGTGGTGTTATGTCGAAGCGCTGAATGGCGAGTATGTAGTGATGTGACAGGTTGGGTGTGTGTGTGGCACGTATTTCTACATGCATGTGAGTTGGAGAGTTGTCTGCAGATGCATCTGATGTGCAGTAATTGCTGCCCTTTCAGTTAACTGTTACAGACTGTCTTGAGGAGGAACCTCGGTTCAGTCAGGCCACAATACGTCTCAGCTGCTGCCAAACTGAACTTATTTCTTTAGGGGAGATTCAGACTCAAGAGAAAATGGTACTGTAGTTCAGAGGAAAGAGAAACAATCCTGCTTTGTTCTGGGTGCTTTGACATGTTGGTGCACGCTGTGCAGAATTTATTTTGGACTTGTTTGACTTCCTGTGTGAACACAATCACTGTGGTGTTTCAGTAATCTACACCTTCACACCGACTATTTATCTCCATTAAAAGTTATGGCTTGTGGAGCTTTTCTTCGCCTCTTAAAGGTGCTACATGTAGCATTTTTAATATCAATATATCTGCCAAATTAGATAAATTAGAGAACTGTATAAAATAAGACATTGGTGGGGGGAAAAGTGTAACAAGCTAAAATAAAAAAAATACTGGATGATTTCTCCATAAACCTTTCTAGCCTTTGCCAGGAAGAAAACGGCTCTTCCTGTTTTGAACAAAAAAGTACATACCCCATTTCCTATAAAAGCCTAGCTGAATCAGATATGCCCTAGAAAATAAAGTCTTCTGCCACACCAGACACAGTAAACATGGACAGTAGTACAGCGCTTGGCTTTTTAGCTTGTTCCCAAAACAAAGGATACTTTAATCGAATGCCATCGGTTAGTTCCAGAATCTAGGTCAATTGAGTGAAAATCCTTCAACCATGTAAAGTGCTGTTGCTTTTCCCCTGGAAGAAGTTGGGCTTCGATGTGCTCTTCTGGATATATATTTTGTGTTGTATTAGGGTCCACGAGAAACGATACCTAAAACTAAATAATATATAAATCAAACTAAACCTGGACCCAATGCATTTATTTATTCAGTTTTCTTTATTATATCAAAATAGCATTTTATCATATTGCTCAATGTCAAACTTTTGCAACAATATCAAGTATACACCACCAGAGACTGTTCATATGGTTTATCATATAGTGCAAACATGTAAAGTTAGAATTAAACTTACTCATGTATTTTAGACTAAAATATTTTTTTTCATTACCATGCAAAATTAATGATGAGATTTTTAATCATATATGCTACATTTTTTTCTTTTTATTTCCTCACAAAAATAAATGACATAATTCACATATGGGAATAGGATTAGTTTGATTTTAATCAGTATAAAACACAATTTAGATAATGTTCTTTACAAACATGCCAATTGAAAAAGTGTATGCTTTTGTATGTGTCCCTTTTTTATAGTTGTAGCCTTGTAAAGGTAGTGTAGTAGTTACATTTTTATATAATTAGGTCAGTAATTCAGCGGAAAAAGCTTGTGTTTCCTATTAGTCATAAAGTAGCCCTTTGTGGCCTATATCTGTTACAAGGAGGATTGTGCTTTCATTAGTTAACACACAAACAGGCATATATATTTACC